TTTAGCTCAGTGGTTCTTCGAGCTGCCTCGAAAGTGCAAGGACCCGAGTCCGATCCCCGGTACTAAAAACAAAACAAAACAAAAAAAGAATTCCCAGTTTTTGTCATTTAGCGGCCACCATTACAGGAGCCACTTCTATGTGCTTTGTCTTCTAATGTATACTGAATATTTAAAAAATAAATTTCAGCCAGGTGTGGCAGCTCACACCTGTAATCCCTGCAGTCGGGAGGGTGAGATAGGAGGATCACTGTGAGTTGAAGGCCAGCCTGGGGTACATAGCAAGACCCTGTTCCCCCTCCTCCAAAAGATTCTTTGAACATCTGTGAACCAGGCACCATTCTGTTTTGGTGGGGTGGGGAGGGAGGGGACATACTGTAAGTAGCCAGCCATGGTGGTGCATACCTGTAATCCCAACTACTCAGGAGGCTGAGGCAGGAGGATTGCAAATTCGACCTCAGCCTGGGAAATTCAGGGCGACTGAAAGTGAAAGGTTGAAATGTAGCTAAGTGGCAGAGAACTCGCCTAGCCTGGGCCAGGGCCCTGGGTCTGTCCCCAGTACAGCAAAAACAAAACACACATGGAAAGTCGGCCTCCTTTCTAGTTGGGTGAGCAGAAAACCCAGGCAGTGGGAGCGGCAGGAAGTATCAGGGCTGGGAGGGGCAACACCATTACTTAGGTAGGACGGCAGGAAAGGCTGGGAGAGGAAAGGGGTTTCTGGCTCTGCGAAGGAAGGGAGGCCACAGAAGTCGCAGCCACGGAACGCACAGTGTGCGAGACAGTGACCAAGAGGCCGTACACACTCGGGTCAGCTCCCCAGGACGGGTGTGATCGCTGCGCACCCCAAGCATATGCCGATAAAAAACTAACCAAAGGAACAAGAAGAAAGATGAGTTGACACGTTGAAATCAGTTAAAAGGAGAAAGAATGCGGGCTGTGGGGTGAAGGTGTCACCTGTCGCCTGTCGCCCTCTCCCTTCTGGGGGGGGGACCTCTCATGGGGAGGAGGGGCCCCCAGGGCTGTGGGATTCCATCCCTGCCCTCCCTAAGTCCCCTTTCGTTGAGTAACTTGTTCTCACTGATGCTCCTGGGAAGAAGCTGTCTTCCATGCCTGGCCCTGGTCATTGCTTTGTCTTTTTTGTTTGAGTCAGGGTCTTGCTGTGTAGTTCAGGCTAGCCTCAAGCTCATTATATAGTCCAGGCTGGCTTTGAACTCGGGGCAATCCTCCTGCCTCAGCCTCCTGAGTGCTAGGATTACAGGCATGCATCACCATCCTCTTAGGAATAAACAAGGGGAGCCCCTGTTCCTTTGAGGAGGGGTGATCAGTGAAGTCCCCATGGGATGACTCACGTTCCAGGGACCCCATTATGCCAGGCTTTCATGCGGCCCTGCACACAGGGGTCCCATCCCCAGCTCACACCCCAGGGTCAGGGTCAGTCTCTCTGTGTCTCCCATCCACAACCATAAATCAACAATTAATAAATGGATCTGGGCAGGCTCAGTGGCACATGTCTGTAATCCCAGCACTTGGCAGGCTGAGGCAGGAGGATTACCGTGAGTTCAAGGCCAACATAGTGAGAACTTGTCGCAAAAACAAACAAACAAAAAGGGAGGTGGAATAATAGTATACTCATGACATTGTTGTGAAGAGGAAATGATTTGACCCATATCAGATATGTGCAGGGCCAGGTACTGTCTCAAAAAATAAAAAATATTTATGCTTTTGAAAAATATTTAGGGGCTAGGGGGATAGCTCAGTGTTAGAGTATTTACCTGCCGTGTTCAAAGCCTTCCTTTGAGGGCACAGCAAAAAGCAGACAAATGACAAAAACACTTTGTCGTATGTACCCCTGAAAATGCAGTTTCAGGCTTCATGCATACATAATCATACATACATCATACACGCATCATACTGGCACCACATGCTTCACACATGCATGCACGCACGTACCACACATCAGAATCCCTGAGTCAGGGCCAGGGAATCCCCATTTCCACAGCTTCTCTGGGTGATATAAACTATAGATATTCCTTACGTTTTCTTCTAGTATTTGTGACATTTTAGGATGGGGAGGGCAGGGTACAAGGGCAGAGATCACTTAAGAAAACATTGGTAAAGGGCCAGGGATTTAGGTCAGTGGTTCCGCCGCCTGCCTCGCAAGTGCAAGGTCCCGAGTTTGATCCCCGGTACCAAAATAAAAAAGAAAGAAAACACTGGTAAAGAGGCCAGGCGTGGTGGTGCATGACTGTAATCCTAGCACTTGAGAGGCTGAGGCAGGAGGATTGCCAAGGGTTTGAGGCTAGCCTGGGCTACATAGCAAGACCATTTCTCAAAAAAACCGAAAAAATAAAATAAAATATTGGTAAAGAAGGCCACATAAAAATAAGCCTTGAGTTTTAAAAAGTCTGTTAAGAAAATCTCCTAGCTGTTGAAACCAAGAAATCTATCAGTAAAAAAAAAAAACACCAAAAGTCCAAGATGGGGGATATAGCTCAGTGGCACTGTGCTGGCCTGGTAAATGCAAGGTCTTAAAATGTAATGAGCTATTATTATTATTATTATTATTATTATTATTATTATTACTTGTTATTATTTTGGGGTTTTTTTTTGAGACAGGGTCTACTATGTAGTTTAGGTTGGTCTTGACCTCACTGTGTAGCCCAGGCTGACCTCGTACTTAGGGAGATCCTCCTGCCTCAGCCTCCCAAATGCTGGGATCACAGGTATGTGCCACCATGCCTGGCTATGAGCAGTTATTGAGCTGGAGGTACAGCTTAGAGGTAGAGCACTTTGGTTCCATCTTCAGCAACATGCACAATTATAAATCACTAAGAGAAACAAACTTTCTGTAAGTCAATAAGCAGATGTGGGTAGGTAATTTACACAAAATGTAAATGTCTCCTACTATGCCAAACAAGATGTATTATTAGTAGTGAACCATTTTCAATTTCTCCATTTGGCAGAGTTGTTTTTAAAAATAGATGTCTAGTGTTGTTTGGTGTAGACTGATGTAGCATTTCAGCAGGAAAATTGGGTCATAAGAATTGTATCAAGCAGTGGGATGTTTCATAATCTTCCACTGAGAAATTCCACTTGTAGAAATTAATTCCCTTCTAGAAGTAATCATGAGTCTGCACAGAGATCTTACTGTATAAAGGCTGAAGGCTGTACAGAATTTTTTTTTTTGGTACCGGGGATCGAACTCAGGACCTTGTGCTTGCGGGGCAGGTGGCAGAACCACTGAGCTAAATCCCTGGCTACTATGTAGCCAGTAAAAATGAGGTCATAGAATATTTAATGACACGGAAAAGTGTCAGTAGTATTTTTTGTGTGCAAAATTTGCGAGGGCACCATTAAAAATGTGGCTATTCCTAGAATAAAAATTAGAGAAATACTCGGGCGGCTGAGGCAGGAGGATTCCAAGTTTGAGCCCAGCCCGGGCAACTTAGTGAAAGAATTGGGAGGGTAGGGAAGGAAGGGAGGGACCCAGCCAGCTCCAAGGCGATGCTAATGCTTCCTGGTCCGGGGCCTCAGTTTAAGTAGCACTGGAGTCCGACCTGGTGGCCGGCCCGTAATCCCAGCACGTGGGAGGCTGAGGCAGGGGAGTGTTTGAGGCAACCTAGGCTACACAGACCCTGTCTCAAAAAGTCACCCCCACCCCCAAGAAAGTAGCAATGCAAGACAGTAGATTCCGGAAGCTTCTCAACCCTAGCTCTGCCACTCAGTGTGACTGTTATTGTGCCTCAGTTTCATCTGTAAAATAAGATTACCTGAATTTTAAGGGTTTTGTAAAGATTTAACAAGTTCTACATATTAGAACAGCAGTCACTAAAAGGAAGCCTTTATGACAGAGCCTAGAGCATTTTCGTTAGACTCATGTACATTAAAGTTTGACGAGTGAATACACGAGTGACCCACAGCGTCGGGGACAAGTCCTTTCTCGGGAGGGCCACAGAGCCAGACGGGCGGAACGGGAAGGGCCGGGCACGGGGACGCGGCCCAGCTCCGAGAACCTTCTCCCGACCCGGAAGCCGCGGGTCCCTGCCCGCGGACCCTGGGGCCGCGGCGGGGAGGGAGGAGCCCACGCCAGCCCCTTCCGCCGCCCGCCCGCTCCGCCCCCGGGACGTCGCCCGTCCGCCTCCGCCGGCGTCCGCGGCTGCTCCGTGTCGCGCGGGGCGGGGCGCGCGGCTGTCAGGGCCGCGGCGGGCGGGGGCCGGCTGCGCGCACTGCGCCCGCGACCGCTCCAGAGTCGCCCGCGCTCTCCAGCCGCCGCGTCGCCACCCGCGCCACCAGGCCACGCCGCGCGCCGGGGCCGGCATGGAGCTGCTGTGCTGCGAGGGCCCCCGGCACACGCCCCGAGCCCGGCCCGACCCGCGGCTGCTGGGAGACGCGCGCGTGCTGAGCAGCCTGCTGCGCCTGGAGGAGCGCTACGTGCCGCGCGCCTCCTACTTCCAGTGCGTGCAGAAGGAGGTGCAGCCGCACATGCGGCGCATGCTGGCGTACTGGATGCTGGAGGTACCGACCCGGCCCGGCCCGGCCTCGCGCGGCGGTCCGCGCCCCCTGTCACCGCGCCCCGGGCCCCCACCCTGCGCGGTCCCCGGCGTCGCGGTTCCGGCGCTGTCTCGGGGACCGGCGGGGAAGCGCGTGGGGGTGGGGGCCGAGGGGTGGCGCGCGCGGTTCCGGCCGACGGAGAAATGAAAAGTGCGGGAGACAGCGGGGCAGCTCCTCCCTTCCCCTTGGGTGTGTGCCGGGGGTAGTGGCCGCGGGCGAGGGCCCGCGCCCCGGCTGCCCCCGCGTGGAGGAGGGAGCCTCGGCCTGAAATCCTCGGGGGAAGGCGCCTGGGCCGGGGGCCCCACCCGGGGAGCGGCCGCGCAGAGGAAGGGGGGGGCACGTTCTCCTCCGTGGCGGTCCTTGCCGCTGTGGGGAGCTTACCCTCTCTCAAGTCTCTGTAACCCGGTTCATCCCCACGCCCCCGCCCGGCCCTTACCGTGCGCCCTCCCCAGGTGTGTGAGGAGCAGCGCTGCGAGGAAGAAGTCTTCCCCCTGGCCATGAACTACCTGGATCGCTACCTGTCCTGCGTCCCCACCCGAAAGGCGCAGTTGCAGCTGCTGGGCGCGGTCTGCATGCTGCTGGCCTCCAAGCTGCGCGAGACCACGCCCCTGACCATCGAAAAACTCTGCATCTACACGGACCACGCAGTGTCTCCCCGCCAGATGCGGGTGCGTGGGTAACGCTCCCCTCTGCCCCCGTGCACCTCTCCCCACTTCCCTGGAGAAGGCACACTGCGACTTCGGAGGCTCTCTGCCCTCCTGGGAAGGGATTCAGGAAAGCCAAGGCTTTTCTTTTGGGAAAAGCACTGTTTGCCCCACAAAGATGGGGCAGTGCGGTGTGGTGGTCGGAGCAGAGCCTCGGGCCTGCGCTCAGCCCCTCCTCTGGACCCTGGCCGGTCCGCCGCTCCTTCCTGGTCTTTCCCCCAGTAGCAGCGAGTCAGGGTGCCCTGTCTACACTCACCAGTACTTTGGTTCTGGGTTTGCACAGCCACCATGAGTTATTTATTGGCAGCAGAAGGGCACGAGCCCACACAACCCCGCCGGGCGGGGAGTGGAATTCGCGTCTCGGGGGAGGGGCTTCCTCACCAAGCATCCCCGGGTGGACTTTGTGATAGAAAAGCTCCCCAGCAGATTAAAGCCAGGCCCTGATTGCTCTGCGGAAGTGCTGAGGTATTTCAACCCACCCACCGCTCTCCTTCCCCTTCCATCCCGGAGACACAGCCCCTTCCCAGCCCTTCCAGCTCTGTCCTCTTCTGAGGAGCCGCAGCAGCTGCTCCGGGCCCAGGCAGAAGTCTGTCCCTTTCCCCTTAGCCTGGCTGGAGTGGGGAGCAGGGCGCCCCCTCCCCCTGCCCGCCCACTCTGACCAAGGGCTTTCATAACCCTGTGGGGAGCTGCCCTCACTCCTGTGGTTTGGGAAGTGGCTCCTTGGGCCTCTTGCTGGGGAATGGGGCCCGGGTTCCTCCAGGCAGGGCCAGAGTCACAGTTCTGCCTCCCCCCAGGAGGCTGGAGCTGTGGGATCCGGGAGAGGGCACGAGGAGCGCCAGGCATCGTTTCCCGGGGCATGGGGGAGAGGGTGTGGGAGCTGGCACCTCCCTTCACCTTGCTCTGTGGTGGCTGAGCCTGCTCCTGACCCCAGAGGAGCTGGGGCCCTGGCTCCCGGGGAGGAGGGCAGCAAGCAGGCGCTGTGATTGGCTGGCGGGGATGAGGGTACTGGGGCCCCTGGCTGCTGTGAGTGGAGGAACTGGATTCCTCTTCCTGCCAAGTAGCTCTCAGAGATGGGAGTAGGAGGCCGGAGTTGGGAATCTGGGAGGCCCCACAGCTCTGTGATGAATCTGGTAGTTTCTGGCAAGCCTGAAGGTGGAGCTGGTTTCCAGGGCGGGGGAGCAAGTCTTTGGAGGGGTTGGGGCTGGAAGGTGGAAGGGGACTATCTCTTGGTGACAAGATTGGGGTGGTTTTAAAAGAATAGGCTCAGTCCTTGTGGAGCTGGGGGTGGAGACAGATGATTCCTAGAAGGTCACCTTGGAAGGGAGAAAGTTAAGACCCAGAAAAGGAGGGAGCCCAGGTGGCCTTGCAGCCTGAGTGTGGTGGCCTCTGCAGCCCATCCTGCCCAGGGTATGCACTCCACCAAGCAGGGCTGGGCCTCTGGGGTGGCCCGGACATGCTTCCCCATGAGGACCCCCCTCCCACTTGCCTCTGGGAGCCTAGGTGCTTTCTCTGCACCCCTGGGTAGAGTTTGGGAAGACTCTGGGAGTAGAACCCTGGCTTCCTTGCTCTCTTCTGGCCACAGCTCAGGCTTGCTCTCTGGGCGTTGGGAGAGGTTTGGGCCTGACACCAAGGTGGGGACCAAGAGAGGGACAGCTGTGGCTGGGGGCCTGGAAGAAGCAGGGTGGGGTCACCATTGCTGCCTCAGTAAGGAGTCAAACCCACTAGTTCCTTCCTGAGATAAAACAATGAAGAAATCCTCAAGTGTGCAACTCGGAAACGGGGCCAGGGCTCGGACGCCCCTGTGGAGTGGACTGGGTGGGGCCCCTGGTGTTGGCTTGGCAGGTGGGGACAGGGATCGTCCCCTCAGGAGTCATCTGGGTGCATCCTGCCTGGCCTGGCCACCACCTCCCCTCCCTCCTGAGTCAGACAGTATCAGAGTGGGGTGGGGGCTGCACCCCAGGACCTGGCCCTGGTGTCCCTCCAAGGGGATGTGGGCTGGGTTGGGTAACCTCCCCTCTGAGGAACCTCAGTCTCAGTGGCTGTCATGAGTGGCCTCTTGTCTGCTGCTCCTTCAAGATGTGGCAGCTTGTCTGGGATGTAGGGCTGGTGAGGGACGGCTGGCAGTGATCTCAAGTCCTTGGGGTTTGGAGAATCTGCTTCATCTCCAAGGGACCTCACGTTTGTGGTATTGCCGGTGGCATCAGGATCAAAAGGCATAATTCACGTAGTGCACACAGTGGTGGCATCTAGCGACTGATCAGTAGGCACTCAGGTGCCCGAGTCGCCACAGCGCCAGTCCCTGACCCGTAGCCCAGTGTGGGTCTTAAACTTCCGAATCTTGCTGGGCTTCCTTCCTGGCGAGGCTTCTGCCCTGTTTCCCCCACCCTCCCCCCGTCTAGCCGATGACTTGCCCCTTTTTTCCCAACACCAGGAGTGGGAGGTGCTGGTCCTGGGGAAGCTCAAGTGGGACCTGGCAGCTGTAATTGCGCATGATTTCCTGGCCCTGATTCTGCACCGGCTCTCTCTGCCCAGTGACCGACAGGCCTTGGTCAAAAAGCACGCCCAGACCTTTTTGGCCCTCTGTGCCACAGGTAAGTGCCCTGCACACACATTGCCCAATTGGAAAATCAGAAGACTTGGGAGGGTGAGAAGTAACTAGGAAATTCCAGTTGATACTCCTCTCAAAAAAAGGATGTCCCCTGCAAGCCCCTGGTTGCGATGCAGAAGTGGATCCTAATCCCAGCAAAGTGGGATCTCGCAGACCTCTGTGGGGAACCCCAGAGGTATATAGCGAGAAGTGACCTGTGTCTTAGGGGAACAGTTGGGTTTCTACACCAGGGGGTTTCATGAGTTCTCTGGTCCCTGGCCAGGACCACCCTGCACCCTGGGAGATTTCCTGTTCACCCCAATCCTCTGTGGCTAGGGTGGGGGAGGACTCCGTGGCACCACACTTGTGCATCCTGCACAAGGTCCGACTTCCACCCCTAGCACAGCAAAAAACTAAACCAAACCAGCCTGATCCTCTCTAGAAAAGGCTTTTAAGCTTCGCTCTCTTGCTCACATCTCACCACACCCGCTGTGGGGTTCCCAGTGTGGCCCCTGCTTGCACTTTCTGAAGTCTGAAGCCAGGATGGCTGCGTTCCTGTAGACCTCCTTGTCTCATGACTCCCTCTCCTCCTCTCCAAGATTACACCTTTGCCATGTACCCGCCATCCATGATCGCGACAGGCAGCATCGGGGCTGCCGTGCAAGGCCTGGGCGCCTGCTCCACATCTGGCGATGAGCTCACGGAGCTGCTAGCGGGCATCACGGGCACAGAGGTGGTGAGTGCTGGGCACCCATTCCAGGTGGTGCTGTTTCCAGAGCCTCCAGCAGAGGGCAGTAGCCACCCCCACCCCAGGCCTGGCCCTTGGTTCTCACCATGGGCGTGGCAGCCCCTCCTACCCCAGTCTGGAGAGGAGTGGGTGTCAGGGCGGAGTAAAGGGTACTGGCCTGAGGTGCCCCGTGCTTGCCAAGTGTGTGTTGTGGCAAGGGTGGAGGACCCGGTGTCAGATGCAGGCTGCTGTCACACCCTCTCGCCACATCCTCTTGCCAGTTTCTGAGAACTGAAGCCCCAATTCCTGGGGCTGGGCTGTGGCCTAACCTCCCTGGCCTTCCCTGGCGTGGGAGGTGTCTCTCCCCTGCACCTGCTGTCCCTGCTATGGGAGGAGCGGGCCTCACTGTCCCGTTGTTCCCAGGACTGCCTACGGGCCTGCCAGGAGCAGATCGAAGCCGCTCTCAGGGAGAGCCTGCGGGAGGCCTCCCAGACGGCCCCCAGCCTGGCGCCCAAAGCCCCCCGGGGCTCCAGCAGCCAGGGGCCCAGCCAGACCAGCACGCCTACAGATGTCACCGCCATCCAACTGTAGCCCCAGACAGGCCCCTAGCGGCCGCCATGCAGCGGAGGGGCTGCCGCCACCCCTCTCTGCCTCTGGAACAGTCCTAGCCACATCTGAAGACGGGGCTGGGTCCCCCCTTCCCCATCTGCACTGTCAGGCTCCCAGCCAGGCGGGGGTCCAGCTGCTCCTCCCACCTTCGTCTGACCAACCCAGCTCCTTCCGTCTGGGCTCTGGTCCGGCGGGATGGGAGCGGATGAATCCCTGCACCAGCATCTTCTAGAGGCCACATCTCTGGTGCTCTCGTTCATAATTAAAATGCCCCAGTGCCTTCTAAGGTGTTGCCCCTTGTGGGGCTACTGTGTTTGGATGGGCACTACGGGCACCCTGCTGCTCCTAGAGGGAAGGCCTAGCCTCGGCCAGAGTTCTCGCTTTGCTTTCTGCTCAGCTTTTCCTGTGCTTGGGGTTCGGTGCTGAAGTGGCCGTTTTAATTTATTACTGCTCTGAATACAACTGTAAAGGGTGCAGTGGGCATGCCTGCCCCTTGGGCGGTGGGAACCCTGGCGGTTGCTGCTTCTCTCCCCGCTGCTGCCGGCTACAGAAGCTTTGTGGCCCAGGAGCTGCTATAGCCTGGGCATGGGGCTGAGCCCTCCTCTCCCTCGGCCCCGTCCCTTCCTCCAGCAGGAAGTATGGGCAGGGACGCCAGGGGTGGGGGAGCCCCCACTGGAGAGGGAGGTAAGCTCTGTAGACACAGGCCTTTCCTAACCAATGCCACAAAGTTCAGGCTGGTGGCCTGGGACCACCATGCTTCCTTAATAAAAATTCTGGAAGAAAATTGCCTTTGGCTTCTGGGATTTCACAGTGCTGTGGGTAAAAGCCTATTTCTGGAAGGCATGAGATGAGATGGAAGTCAATTGTCTAAAGAAAGCATGGCCTGGGCCGGGATGTAGCTCAATGGCACCGTGCCTGCCTGGCAAGCACAAGACCCTGAGTTTGATCCCTGGTACAAAAAAGAAAGCATGGATTGTCATTTCTGTAATGAGCTTTGTGGGGCACACAGTCTGTCCAAACAGCCAGTTTCCTTATGCATTGCATCACATGGCTGAGCAAAACTGCAGAATGGACCTGTCTGGCTTATGGGAAAAGGGGGCTTAGGACATGCATCTTGATGGGTGGGGTGCGGCTCAGTGGCAGAGCACTTCCTCAGCAGCTCCCCCAAAAACCTCTAGATTTACAAGATGACATCATTGTCTGGTGTGGTGGTATACGCCTGTAATCCCAGCACTCAGGAGGCTGAGGCAGGAGGATCACTTTAGTTCCAGGCCAGCCTGGGCTACACCAGACCAGCCTGAACTACATAGCCAGACCCTGTCTCAAACAAAAGAAAACCAAAAAACCCCACATGGATTTTACATGTTAAATGTGAAGGACATAAATACTGTAATAAATTCTGTTGGTTGTGGAGGTCACGTGTTCTGATGCGGCCGTGGGAGTTGGTGGCACCACCAGATGTGGGCCGGTGCCCAGAGGAAGCCGGGCTCCGCTGTGCTCCAACAAAACACAACTTGGCAAGCACTCTGCCACTGAGTGACACCAGTCCTCCAACAACTTCCTGTGGGCACTCAAATGTGAATTCCATATCATTCTTACCTGTCACAAAATATTAACTTTTCTCTCTACCATTTAAAAATAAAAATACCATTCTTAGTTGATTGGTTACAAAACACAGGCATTTGGCCCTAATTTGCCCCCAACTGGTCTAAAACTTCACTGGCCAAAAAATTAGAGAACCTGTTTGGTGCTGACCTGGGTCTAACCTCTCCAGCCCCAACCTTTTCCCTCCCCTGCTTCCCTGGGTGAAGGGTGCTCTCTGGTGATGCCCTTCACCCACAGCTGCTCCCCGCTGGCACTGTGCCCAAGTGGCCATGTGAGGGCGACAAGGAATGTGCACCCAGGGGGTGACTTGAGGGGCCCGGGAGGAAGCCTGTAGATGAGCGGTGGTGGTAAGAAGCCCCTCTAGACGGACAGGGCGATGTGACCCCACCTAAGGCTAGAACAGGGGAAGGACTGTCAGCGGCACCGTGACGGTTTCAATAAATACCTGTTTTTATCCACGTCTCAGTGATCCAACACGGCAGCCAGAAGAAAGCGCCGTGCCAGCCTCAGCTGGGGAGCTGGAATGCTGGCTGTGGAGTTACAGTCGGGCCCTCAGAGTGAGCAGGGTTGTGAAGGCCCAGAATGGAAGGGTGACCCAGCAGCCTCAGTCTTCCCTGCCCAGGACTGGGAGCCGCAGATGCCCTGTGACCTGTTGCAGTCCCAGTTGAGGCCCTTAGCCCATGGGTTCAGCGCCACCTCTGGTCACTAAGAGGGGACCAGGACAGGCAACTGCTGTCCTCACTCCATGGCGACAGGGACATCTTCCACATCTCGTGGGACAGCGCTTTGGAGCTCACGCCTGATCTCAAGGGACAGCTGCGGGTGGGGTTGCAGCCGGAGCAGTTCCAGGAGAGCCTCCTTCTGATCCGAGGCCAAGTCAGCCTTGTAGCGCTGGGCCAGTGTCAGCAGGCACTGGTGCCAGAGCACGGGCAGCTGGCGCTTCTCTGTCCGGAAGCCCAGGAAGTGGAAGACCAGGGCGTCCAGCACCCGGTAGGGCAACGCGTACTTCTTATCCAGCAGCAGCCGCAGAAAGATGCTGTTGGCCCCGCTGTACTCCATTTCCGCGATCTTCAGCATGGCCGCGCTGGGGGACAGGGAGCGGGGTGGGTCCCTGGGGGTGGGGCTAAAGGAGGGTCCACCTCCCCTTTCCCTTGGCTGCCCCAGCTATGGTATTCCCAGGGTCACAGCAGGCGGGGGTCTCCTCACCCACTCAACCTTATTATTACAATCCCTGGACTCCAGGTATCATCTCTACATGCAGCCACCCACAACCCTGCGCTGGCCCGGACTGAAGGCCACCTAATGTCCAAATGCACCCCATCTCCACCCTGATCTGCTTCCCCCATGGTCACTTACTCAACCGCGGGCTGCTCCCTGGGATTCTGTTCTCTGGGGCTTATGTGTCAGTGAAGCTATGCTCCATCCGTTCATTGGCTTTGGCCACAAACCCAGGGCTGTGTTCTCCACTCCTCCCCACCGCAGCCCACACAGATGCCCAGTGAACGCCCTCCTCCACTTGCCAAGGCTACCTGGAGTGCAGCACAGGGATGGAGCACTTGGTTATGATGCTGCCCACGATGATGGCTTCCCGGAGGGTACAAGTGCCCGACTCACACAGTGGGATCAGGATCCCTGGGAGGGGCAGAGGGCAGACACGGTCAATGGGGTGAGAGAGGTGACAGCAGGAAGCACTCCGCCTGCTCAGGGACTGCCCTGGACCAGCCACTCCCCAAGTCGGGTCTGACTCCAGCCCCTGGGCTCCCACCTTTGAACCAGGCCCCGGGCTTGAATAGAGCCTTCTTAAGGGCCATGTAGAGGTGGAAGTTGAGTCGTTTGTACTCAGCGATGTCATCGCGCACCCGGGGCAGCAGGACGAGGTTGTAGAAGCGCTGGGCCATGCGTTCCTTCAGGTTAGAGGCGAAGATCCTAGTGGGGTGGGAGTTCCCAGGTCACAAGACAGCCTGGGCCTGGCCCTTTAAACATCAGCCCATGCATGGTGAGAGCAAGAGATTTCACGATGCAAAACCATCCTTTCGGAGAGGGGGGTGTGGCAGCCATGTGCATGCACATGTCAGCTTAGATGGGAAGGGGCAACAGGATGTACCCCAAACACAGTGTGCACTGTCTGCTTTTTTTTTTTTTGGCAGTACTGGGATCAAACCTAGAAACCTAGGTCCTCATGTATGCCAGGCAAGTGCTCTACCCCTGAGCTACATCCCCAGCCCAGTCTTTGGGGCAGTCAGCTGGGCCTTGGCCCCCAAAGTGCAAGAGAAAAAGTTAGGAAAGTGGTGACGTGAAGAAGCACAGAAGACACCAAGGAACAGAGTCCCAGAGTAATGGCCACAGCAAGGACGGCTGGAACCTCTGGCCCTGGCCCTCACCTACAGACTCAGCCACCCCACCTTATTGTGCTACCTGGTGGCCTGGTACATGGCGGCTGCAGTCCAGGCCTCGGGCTCCGTGACGTAGAGGATCTGCTCCCAGTTGGAGAGTGCAGGGATGATTTTAAAGGCCTTGGGCAGCTTCCCACTGCGGTACTTGGATAAGACCTGGGGGCGGGGGGCAAAGTCACTGTCTCCGATGAAGGCCTCGTCAGGGTGCTTTTTCCATGTGGATGCATGTGATCCTTGTGCCAACCCTGCAAGGAGGTGCTTTACCACACTCGTGTTTGCACGCCTGGAATGGGAACCTCAACCCACACCTCTGACACGAGTCTGCTCTTGGCCACCACGTGTCATTAGAGATGCGGGCAACATGGATACACAGGGTGTCCCGCTCCCCCAGGAGGCTGACCCACCATGACTTCCTTCCCAGCTCTCACCTCCTGGACCCCTCTGTAGACCTCCAGGACCCTCGGATCCAGTTGCGGCACAGGAAAGCCCGACACCTCTGACATGACCGTCTCAACCTCAGTCTGCTTCTCAGTCAGTTTCTCCATGATGATGTCAGCCAGGGTGCGCCTGGAGAGGGAAGGGAGGGCTGGACTCACTGTCCTGGAAACTCCAGAGTCCCCTCATGGTTCCTGTGAGCGCCAATACTGTCGTCCTGCGGGGTGGTAAGGCCTCAGCCCCCTCTGCACCACCCGCCACAAATCGCTGTACAGTAAGGAGACAGAAGTCCTTCCACATGGGACAAAGTTGGCGGGTCAAACTGCTCAGGCTTAAGTCCTGGCTCTCAGTCCCGAATGACTGCGGGCATGGTTCTCTGCCTCTCTATGCCTGTTTCCTCTGCCATAAAGCAGGGCTAATAATGGTACTGCTTCTGTGCATAACCCAAGAATTACATATCCGTACACACATATGCTACCTGGAACTGCTAGTACCTAGCAAATACGAAACTTCAAATGCACCTGCCACATGCTGGCAAAATGTGAGGATGCTCCTAATACCAACTCCCAGCCCGACATCTAGAGTGTCACACACACTTCGATGACCTGCCGAGATTACAGGCTGCAATGATTACTAGGGAGAGATTAACAAACTTTTTGTCATTTGAATTTTCCAAGTTTGGGGTCAGTCTCAGCAACTTAGCTAGATCTGATCTCAAGAAGTAAATAGGGCTGGTGATATAGCTCAATGCAAAGTCCCTGGGTTCAATCCCCAGTATTACAGAAAAAATCGTACAGAACATTCTGTCTCCACATTCTCTTCAGTCTCAGGATATCAACATAATCCTCCCCAGACCCCACCTCTGGAGACAAAGTCTTGATATGTAGCACAGGCTGGCCTTGAGCTGAACTCACAATCCTCCTGGCTGAGCCTTCTGAGTGCTAAGATTAGAGTGCAGGACCACAGCAGCACTGCCAAACATAATCCCATCTCACAGATTCAGAATCACCATCCTTGGGGTGTGGTAAGATACTGGTGCCTTTGAGCTTGCTCATGTGTATGCCTACTGCCCCTGGACTGGGGTACAGCTCAGGGGGACAGAGCTTCTCTGGTATGCACGGGGCCTGGCTCCATCTCCAGTGTCTCAAGTCTTTCAAGTTCTAACGTCAGGGCCTTACGGTCCCCTCCAATGTGTTCCTAGACCCAAGAGACTGCTGAGCTCTATGGCTCTAGTCCTGGCTTCTCAGGAGTGCCAGGATCCCTCTTCCAGCAGCTCGCCCCTTCTTCACTGCTAAGCTGCTCAGGATTACCTGTGAAGCACGAATCATGAGGCACTGGGTGGGACTGAGGCTCTCTGGGGACGAGCACACAGCTGAGCGTGCACTCTGTGACATCTGCAGCCACCACCAAGAAGGGGCCACTCACACCTCACGCCTTCCCTCTGTGCTCTACAGCTGCTATAGGACGCCCCCCCATCTTTTCATGGTGTTACAGCAACCTGATGCATTGACCCAAACCATTCTGAAGACCTGAGAACCGAGTGTCACCGGTGGAGGGTCAGAACGGACTGGTCCAAGGCCTTCACCCTAGAGTCCCTGGCCCTGAGCCAAAGGCACAGGCTCCAGAATTTGACCACAAGCAGGTTCTGGAGCTGGCATTCCTTTCTTTCTTTTTTTTTTTTTTTGGGTACTGGGGATCAAACTTGGGACCTTGCCCTTGTGAGGCAGGCGGCAGAACCACTGAGCTAAATCCCTGGCCCTGGAGCTGGCATTTTTTTTCTTTTTTTTTGGTACCAGGGATCGAATTCAGGTTCTTGAGCTTGCGAGGCAGGTGGCAGAACCACTGAGCTATATCCCCAGCTCCAGAGCTGGCATTTCTTATAGGTGGGAATAAACTGGGCATGGTGCACACACACACCTGTAATCCTAGCACTCAGGAGACTAAGGCTGGAAGATCTCCAGTTCAAGGTCAGCCTGGACT